TAAATGTACCAGCATCAGAAAATTGAGACCAACCCGCCCCACCCGCTTACAATCCTCACCCCCAAAATCTTTTACTTCCAAAATGTGTTTAAAAAATGATCAGGATCCTCCGAAACATCAAAAAATCAAGTTTGAGTGACTTTTTTCGTTTTATATGATCCTGGTGTCCACGAATTAAATGATAAGAATTATCAGTGCGCTGTTGAAGTTCTTCCAGAGTATTTACTGCTCCATCATGACATACCATTTCTTTCAAATAGCCGCACAGAAAAAAATCGCAGTTAAATCCGGGGAGCGAGCAGGCCAAGAAATGTGTCCATTGCGACCTATTCATCTATTGGGAAACTTATTATTTAGATGTACATGAACTTCTCGTCAAAAATGTGATGGAGCATATCATGTAGGAACCACATATTCTGTCTGACATTTAGAGGAACATCTTCTAATAATTGTAGCAGATTGTATCGAGGAAAATCTAAATAAATTTGACCCCTTAGTCGAGGTGGAGAAAAGTACAGTCCAAAAAGCATACCATTTACCACGCCAGCCCAAACATTTAATGAAAATCTTTGTTGAAAATGAGTTCTTTTTACAGCATGCGGATTTTCTACTGCCCAAACATGATTGCTGTGAAAATTGTGCACTCCATTTCGTGTAAATGTGTGTGAGCCATTTTTTGGCGCAGAATAATCAGACAAATTAAAGTATACGCACTATTAAAAGTCTGATACAACTGATCGAACTAAAGACTCGTACTGGGAACCATACAATAACACAAAAAGTTTGCCAATTTAAGATAAGAGGTAAGAGTAGTAAACAAAAAGCGCTAAGATTTTTCACGATAGTGGTCGAGAATATAAAAAAAAATCTGTGCAATAACATTCTTATGTTTGGAAATTTTCAATCTTTCACTATTTTTTTATTATGCAACGTTTATATAGCTGATTTTTGGTATTTCAGCTCATTTTGACGAGTCTTACAAGCAGTTAAAATAAATGACTCAACCTTGAAACATGAGAAAACATAATATACACATTTCATCCTTATTTAGTTTAAGCAGTTGCGTTGAAATGTAAAACACATCTTGGTAATGCAATATATTAGTACATTAATGTGTTGTGATACACTTTTTTTTATAACTTTTGTATGTACTTTGTACCGCGTTTTCCGGAATCCTCAAGTAGAATGCAATAAAAAAAATCTGGCCGACTCATGAATAACCCAGTCATTTAAGAAGCTTCAACGCTGTTTTTTGCTACTGCACAGATATTTCTGCTTATTTGTTTAAAGGAGTATTTTTTTGTAGCATCGAGTTCCACCAGCAACAATATGATGATCATACCATTTTGCATGTTGAGCCTCAACTAGGTTTATACAAAACGGTTCATAGATGTTTTTCATTACTAACCCAAGAAGAAACCATTATAATACTTCATTAAAGAGTAGTATTTGTCTACCTATGTGAATAATAAGAACATAAAAACACCAAGATAAATAGCGCCAGTTAAAACTGCATCATGCATCATTATGTCAGTTTGATAATTGAACCTTCTCAGGTAGTTCTCTTTCTAGAATACCGCAGCAATGGACATAATGTTTGAAAACGACTTTTAAGGTTAACCAAAATAAAACATTTGCATTTTACTCCCCTTGGTTGGACCAGTTCAAGTCAAATTGGCTGTCTGTTGTATTCAATGATTTTAGTTTTTATTTTGGCACTAGGGAACTAGATATCTTGAATTATTTGTAGGATGAGCTGAAGGCGACATAGTCTAATCATATTATCAAATTTCCCCGAAACAATAATTTGAATTTTTATGCAAAAAACGAAGGATTGCATTTTTTCTTATAAACAAATTCAAATATTTCATAATTATATGTGATTAACTGACCTTTTATTAGAAAGAAAATATTTTTTTTTCAAGATTTCTTCATACTCTTGTGTATAAATATTTACAGTCACAGATGAGCCTTAAGGTTTATAAAACAGAATATTCCATTCTGAAATGCGCTGAACTGTTTATAAAGTTAGCACGCAAACTGAAAACACAATTGTTTCAAATTGTCTTAGACTAGTTAGTATACAGCATGTGCTAAATGGCTGCATTATTGATGACTTTGTAGGTCACGTAATCCAGTTTCTTTACGGAGAAATATAATTACCTAGATTTTTTTTCTAAAAGTATTAATATAGTATATGTATGTTTTCGAAATCTCGTTCGATATAAAATTAATGTACTTAGTTTTGAAGATTTATTGATTTAAAGCTTAAAGTAGACTTTAATAGCTACATCAGATTAGTTTGTACTACTTTCAGAAGAAATTTCACTAAAAGAATTTACTTAATAAGTAAACGCTTTTCTTCACTACCCCTATGGTTTGCTTATCATTTGTTGTTGAAAATAGCTATTGGAGCGTTTTTTTGTGGCAAAAAAGTTATTTCTTGAGGAAAGATAAGGAAATATCTCGTACTTATTTTAAATAGGAATTTAGCACATAGTTTGCGATTGATTTGACCAAACTTTGTTGCTGAAATAGCTTGTAACGCTTTATTACATAAATTAACCATGGTATATTCCACAGCAGAAAGAGTCGAAATTATCGAAATATTTTTCGGAAATAAACAGTGCGCTAATAGAACAGCAGAAATATTTAATGAGCGACATGAGCATTTGTTCTAGAACTTCTAGCTAAATTTCGGAAAACTGGCTCAGTCGCCAATAAAAAACGCAACATTGAAAATCCCATAAGGAACGAAGCAATAGAAGTGGGAGTTTTAGGGCAAGTTTATGTAGATCCTACGTTAAGTACCCGCAAATTGGAGACTGTGTGTGGTGTTAGTCGACGTACTGTCCAACGGATTCTAAAGGCCCATAGTTTTCATCCGTATAAAATTCACCTGGTACAAGAACCTAATAAAGACGGTTTTGATCGGCGATTACAATTTTGTGAAGATATGAGTGAACGAATTATAAACGATATTCAACACTTGCTTTTCCGACGAATGTTCCTTTTTCTTAAATGGCGTAGTAAATCGTTATAACTGCCGATATTGGTCCGATTCTAATCCCAGAATTTATCATGAGGTTCATACACAGTAGCCACAAAAATTAATTGCTTGGGCTGGTATTTTTGGCGACCATTTAGTTGGTCCTTTTTTCTTACCTGTAAATTTGACCGGTGAAATGTATTTGAAATTACTGGAAGACGCCATAGATCCTGCATTAACAGCCATAATTGAAAATCAGAATGATCGGTGGTACATTGCGAATAGGTTGATGTTCCAACAGGATGGTGCCCCACCACATTACGCATTAGGTGTTCGACAATATTTAGATTAGACGTTTTCAGATCGATGTATTGGTAGAATAGGTGCAATTGAATGGCCCCCAAGATTTATCACCTTTGGACTTCTTTATGTGGGGTCATTCAAAAAGCAAAATCTATGCTACTCAGCCAACATCATTAGAAGACCTGCGACAAAGAATTGTGAATGAGTGCCTTCAAATTACTCCTCAAATATTGCAAAATGTGTGGCAACGTTTTTAGCAAAATCTTTATTATTGCATGGAGAGTCATGGTGGCCATTTTCAATATTTACTTGCCTAACCGATTAGTTCATTCTTCATTTTTAAACTACTTTGCTGCCAAATGTATTGATTTCCACTAATTAGGATGTATTAGTTTTATTTAAGCTTTAAATCAATAAATCTTCAAAACTACTGAATTGAAGTACATTTATTTTATATCATTATAAAGGGAATTGGTGAACCTTTAAAATAAGGTATCACTCGACCCCCCTTTCCATTTAAGATTTTGGGGGTGGTGCCACCCCCACTCGGGGGGCTGCACGTGCTAACGTGCTTTTTTGCAAAACTTGTGTCCCACTCGAAAACAAAATCGACGGGTTTGAACGCTTTTCAAAAAAAAATGTATGTAAAATAACGTATATTTTTCGAATATCGTGGCGAATCTCACATATTATATGAAATGTTTGAATTTGCTTAGAAGAAAAAACGTAACCTTTCGTTGTTCCCATAAAAATAACAATTATCTTTTCGATTGTTGTGATTCACGTCGGCTATAAAATGCCCTTTGAACGAATCCTGTATATTGTTCAGTAAACTAGTAGTGATGGCCGGAAGACAGGCGTCTTGGGATGAACAATTAGAAATTCTCAAAAACTACTTGACCAATCGCCTCCAATTTTGTTGTGGTTATTAACATGTCTGAAGCCCATGGAGTTCAAGAATTTATTTAAATACCTAAATATCTTATTCAAAGAATTTTCTTCGTTCATGCCAGCACGTTCGATTGAATCCCAAAAACGGATTTTCTCATTCTTTGTTGTCGAATAAAAAGTTTTCCCACAAACATTGGTGGACCCATTTTATGTGTATGTTTTAAATAACCCCTCGAACAACTTGCATCAATAAAACCAGAATTCACAATTATTTCGCAAGCCATGGGTATTTTCGTCTAATATGGTTGGACTAACAACTGGTTTGTTCTTACAGTGGTCGGTGATTGTGTCAGGTATCCGGCCGTGTGAATTTCATCTATATAGAGAAGCTTAGTGAACGGAATTTTTGTGGAGGGATCTGGGACATGATCACTGACGGTTGGTGACAGCTGTATGAACAGGGCAAACATCGTGATGTAACATATTTTGTGATATTAGTGAAAACAAGTGTGATGATGCCCCACTCCTCAAACTAGGTATGTAATGTCACTTCATTGTTATGTCAAAAGCAAAGCAAATAAAAAACTACCTTATCTGTCTTTACAAAGCAGTTGCGTACCAGAGAAGTCTCGCAATATCACTCATGCGAAGCACAAGTTTTGTAGTTTTCTCTTCAACGAATGGTTGTTAAGCTTACAGAGAAGCAGTGTTTCGAAAAGCTCCTCTATATCACCACACTAGCACCTCACGAATGTTGCTTCGATAACCATATGTAGTATCACTTATTTTCCAAACAAAATATTGTATTTCGCTTTACCCAATCACGGTTGAGTTTACAAAGTAAGAATGTTCGAAAAAGCTCTACAATATCACTGCACCAGCACGTTACACAATTGCCACCACAATGTCTGATAACACTTTTATCACCTGTAAGTGTAAGAGTCACTGTGAACATCCATTTAGCTTGAAGAAGAGGCCTTGGTCCATCTTCCTTCATTTAACAATTAAGTTTAAGTGGCGAAAAGTGGAGACAAAGTTACAACTCATCAGCTTCTCACGCCTTACGCTTCACGCTTCACGCCGCCGCGCCAACTCAACTAATTTGAGCACTGTGTGAAGGAAGGTCCAATAAACATTAGTCGAAGGGGTCACGGCATTATCAGAGGCCGCACTGCGATTATATGTAATTGATATATACAATATTGTCAGAAACTAAAGAGCCTGTACACCGCTTTCGTAGATTAGACATGGCACTGGCGTATGCAGACAAATGTTCTGGAAGGGGCTTGTCCTTGAGTCGTGGTATTATCAACAATTTTACACAGATTGAATTTATTGAATATTTATATACAGTGTGATGAAAAAATTCAGAAAGTTTTTGTCATCTGGTCTAGAATCTACGTCGCCTGATCAGGCTTAGCAAGAATAGGTCGTGATATTATCACAAAGCGCACAGCATTGATGTGGTACAGTACAGTCAAAAATGAAATCCTCTATAGTTCTTTATATATCGAAGCAGCCGCATAGGCAGAAGCCTAAAACCATGGTACCGCGTCTGCTACGAGGAGCTTAAAGAAACTTTGTTATTTTGACCCTTTAACTGGGTAAGGAACTGTGAGATGCATCCTTAGGTGGATTGCCACAATCTCGCTATCCTAGGACAAAGACGGGGGTTGTATCGATCAGTTCCGGATGTACAAAGTTTGACACAGTTAGGATGGGAGGCCGAAGTCAGGCGGGTCCTGTCTGGCAGGCACATCGAGCGGCGCCATCATTTAGGGAGCTCTGAGGAGCAAAGCTCGCTGACATAAAGGTAGAAGAGAGCTGAATCGCCGACGGCTTGCCTGTGTGAAAGCGCCCCGAGATCGTCTGTTAAAGAAGAGTCCATTGATCAGTCGGACAGGCCTCCTCTAAGCAGCATCAAGCACTCAAGGCGGCAGCACCTGGGCCTTGTACCGAGCCAAGTTATGTGGGGAAAGCATTTCTTGGCCCCAAACGAATAGCCTAGCTTTATCCCAGCAGCTGCCGATACTGATGAGATGTGTTCCTGCCAGAGCAAGTCATCGGTCCATCTGGACTCAGACTAGTCGAAAGGAACGGCTTTTTTGGTAAAAGTCGGACATCCGTCGAAACCGTATTACCGCTAGGGCGCTTCTGTTAGGTCAAGGTACAGCACTGTGTTAACCTCAACATCTTTCGTTACAGGGAATGTCACTACTAGTCTCTTGACTCCAGCTCATCGGCAATGATCGGCTTGTCACTCTGAATTCCTGCATCATGTAAGTATTGTCATCAGCAAAGCTGTGGGTCCGGTCGTTGATATTTAAGAGGAAAAATGCCGGAGCCGGCGTTACACTCGCGTTCACATTGTGAGAGGAAGTGAGCCACCCATCTGCAAAGAGGACAGCATGCTTCAGCTGATTGAACGATTTCGTGATACCGAAGGCAAGAAATGAGCCTCACTATAATAAGACTGGATGATATTGCTCCACAGTTGTGTGATACTAGATCTATGTGGTACCGATGAGCCTAAATTTTGCAGTTGCAGAAGCCTTGTTCGTACAGCTGTCACCAACCTGTCAGTGATCGTGTCCAAGGTCCTACCACACAAATTCCGTTCATTCTGATGTGCTATATAGACGTAATTCACACGGCCGGGTCCCCAGACACTGTCACCGACCTCTGTACGAGCAAACCTAGTTGCTGAATTTCAAACCGACAATTCTCTTTTGATTTGAAAGCCAACGAAATCGTGTAATGTCTTGCTTAGTGTTTTAAAGGCTAATTCCTAGGTGGCGTTGAGAATAACTTCTGTTTTTTATTCAGGTAGTTATAAATCATATGTAGTTTCCCAAGATGGTGTTGAAGTTTCAAATAAAAGCGTATTACACCCTTTTCTCAATGGTGGCGTTTTACGAAACTCGCTTTTATTTGAAAACTAGAGGCGAATGAGCTTCACTATTGTTTAGAAGTTAACAAGTACAGATGCTGCATATTTCCAGCTGGAAAAATATTTCTTTATCTTGAGTTCATTTTAACAGCTAAATAAAACTTCTTTAATTTTTTTTTTCAGTTTTTATGTCAAATAGGTACTTTTATTACAGCGTCAGCATTTGGGCTTGTGAACTTGCGCCGTTTATTTCAAGCCGGGATTTATTTGCACCTGATCTGCCGCTTACTTCAAGTTGAATGACTCTTTCGCCAATCATGCCTCTTATTTAAGGTCGGAAATTACTTGCGCCCAAGAAAGTTACTCCGGTTTGATTTTGGAGCTTCTCTTCTCCTAGATAGGCTGTAAACAATGTTGACGACGTCTGTTTCACGGAGTTATTTATGGTACAGCTATTTAGGGCCGTATCGTCAGTCGTTTTTACAATTTTAGGATGCCTTTATGGCCTTTTTGATTTTCATAGTCTTTTTTCGCCTCCAGAAAGGCTGGGGTGTTTATATACTGTTCCTTGTCAGCGTCAGCGCTGTCCTATTGTGAGGTTTATGTATTCTTCTTGAATCTTAAGAAATTTTAGGATAATAAAACGGATGTTAAAAATCAAGTTTTATCAGCTTGAAATATTTTAGAATTTGAAAAGAAATATAACCTAAAGATACAGCGCTTACACGAAACAGCTGAAATCTAGAAATACCGCTGCATGACAGGAAAAATTATGAAAATCCGGGAGGCTATAAAGGCGTCCTACAATTCTAGAAACGAATAACGATATGACCATGTCTGTCAGCTCATTCGGTGCCTAGATGTATCGCCGTTTTGAGCCTTATTGAATTTCGAATGACGTCACCTTGCTGATAGTACTGTTACACACCATTATCACGGGAGTTATTACGGAAATTATACATCGCCATTTTGTAGCTTTCGTCAGACTGGATTCAAAATGAGGACATTCAATTTATCCTGTATAGGCATGAGGACCAACCGTATATGTAAAATTTCATGGTCAAGGTTAATTCGATAAAAAATGGAGAAGGTATAAATCGCCGATTTCAGGCGTCCGCCTTATTGGATTTAGAATGATTTTGCGTTGATGATAGTGTTTAACCCATCAAACCCTTTCATTTGATGCCCATATTACCAGTGTTATTATCGAAATAGCGGCATTCAATCCATTTTGTATTGCCAGACGAACCAAATCTGTAAACAAAATTCCAGCTCGATTGGTCAAGGTTGTAGGGTTCAAAATTCAGTTTCAAGATTTGTCCCACACAAACAAGTTAAATAAATTGAAATTATTCAGCGCTTGGAATGACAACTATTGAACGCTTGTAATGAAAAAAGCATTTAGGTAAGATTCTGAGACGTCAACGCGTGGAAAGTTAAATAGAGATTGGGTGTATTTAACCGGGCGCTACAAAATCTCTTGTCGAACAAAAATATCCATTGAAAAAATGGAATATATGAGGAGGTAGCCAAAAATAACCGGAATAGCATTGCAGTGGGCGGAGCTAGTGTAGTACACATTTCTGCCCCTAGAGGCGTACAGCGCAACTCATCACCAGTTCAGTGCCAGCTGAGTTGTCGATCTGGATTGTTTCGTTCCTCTGTAGTCATTATTTTTGCTAGAGCTATTTCTTGCTTGTTCCGTTTTTTACGATGGCAAGCTTTAGTGAGCAACGTGCAGCTGTGACATTTTGCTTTCTAATTAGTAAAAATGCTGCTGAAACTGTTTTAATGTAGAAAACACCTTACAAAGATGATGGTATGGGAAAAACTCAGGTGTACGGCTGGATAATTCGGTCGACGTCTTCTGCACTTGCAGAACAGGTACAATGCTACGATGATAACTAATACGGCAATTATAGAATATGTGAACCATGAGAGATGTCTGGATACGGAGGGCTCGTTGATAATTTTGTCCAGTTGTTCGAGTACTGATTCGACTTGTGGTTAGCTATTTCTAATTCTTCAGTCTCGATCTTATATAGCTTGATCCACTTTAGTTTTGGCAGTTTATGTTTGTCTGGTAAGTGTTTGCAGCAATTATAAGGTATCTCTACAGGGTGATTCCTGAATGTGATATTCTTATAAGTGTTGACAGAATATCTGGCATGAAGTCTAGTAGTAGCTACAAATTCACTGCATCCAGGTTGCATCTTTAAGAGTGAATTACCTTTTATCACTTTTGTGGTTGTCTCTATTTGCCCACATTTCATGGTTATGCGCTACGGGCTAGATATTGTAATCAGCCAAAAATTGGTTGCTTCTTGGATTTTATAATCCTGTAAGGCCACAATAGCTATTTGACAAGCATTAGACAAATCAACCGGGTTTTGCAACAACTGTGCTTCATAGACTGCATTATTATCTATAGGGTAAGGCAAAAGGTGAAAACAAATTTTGATTTGACTTTGAAGGATTTTGCAATTATCTAAATTTTTAAAGGACACGTACAATAGCGAATCGCTATCCTTAGCAATGTATCTCTGTATTGTAGAAATAACATGAAATAAGCCTGTGCGGCTATCTGGAATGGGCAGAGGAATTACTTTGTACAGTGTGTAAATTTCTGGTTCGACACCTAATAAAGGGATTCTTAAAACGAAAACTACTTTTTTTTGGTCTGACATGCCTCAATCTCCATGAGATTGAGATGTCCAGAGACCGTTGCTGAACTGACTAACAAGGGCAGGTTGTTTTTTGACAAGGTGTGTGAGATTTCCTGAAGGGAATTCACTAAACCATGAGGAGTAATAATTGAGGGATGGATTATTTTCAGACGTGCGAAAGTAATGGAATTTAGAACGTCGTTAATCATTTCTTCAAGAAACATGTAACTTTCCATAAGTTGCTCGCATATTTCAAAAAATTTTAATCTAGCGTCAAAAAAGGCAATTTTGTCTGAAATATTGATAATTTTGTCTTGAATAATTTTTATGTCCTCATTGAATGTAGCTTCGTCAATTTGCAACTTCCGAACTGTATTGTAGAAATTCTCGATATCCGACATGGTTACAGAAATTAGATTTTCCATAAGGTTTTCAAGCTCA